TCAATTTTATATATCATTAAAAAGCTCACATTGAAGCAAGTGCACTACAAATCTTTTACTACAGAATACTATGGCAGTTAAGTTTCTTTCTAGTCTGTTTGTGCCAAGTTATGTATGACCAGAAAGATCTTTACAAGACCTTAAAACTCAACTCTGACATGGGTGACTACCAATCTATACTGTTTTACTACAAGTCAATCAAATAACTTCAAAACAGTAATTAACTCAAAGAGTTTTGATTTATTAAGAATGATGTTTATATAATCAGAAAGGCTTTACTGGAGGCAAATACCCAGGCAGTAGAGCGCCTAGTGCCTGTTAGCACTAGGCGCACTATAGGCATGGTTTTGGGGTCCCTGTCTATTGCTGCTGTTTTTTTTGGGCTAAAACCCCCGGGAAAAGCCAGGGCAACACAAGAAAGACCTCTAATGCCTTGAGTCTTGCCTCCGGTGCTTCTTCACCTTTATAACAGTCAAATCTATTGACTTTTGTCCATGCCACTTATGGCAGCTACTAACTGCTAAATGAGTATGAAATTTATGAACTTTGTTAAGATTTCTGCTTTATCATTTGATATCATTAGAAAGGTTTCAACTTGGCATTGAACTCACTTGTACTGACTACAAATCTACTGACTTTTGTTAGTGCAACTGATAGGCTACTCTATAACTTCAAAACAGTACTAGGGCTGTATCTCAGTCATTTCTAGAACTTACAGAGTAGTTCTGGTATAATTCTAAAGGCCTCTGGATCTATTACAATCTAGCATTCAGCTCACTTTTACCTAGCCAAAAATTCATATACTCACTTGGGCTTGTCAGAAGAGTTATTTTTTGAGCTTCTAGAATGGTTCTGGTATGGCTGGAAGGGTTTCTGAATGTACTATAATCTAGTCTTCATGCCAGGGGAACCTCCCTTTCGGCCCCTCGGAGACGCGTCCGACTCCGGTCCGATTCCGGTTCCAACTCCGGTCCAGCCCTCCATCTCGCCCGCACAATCACCGATCCGTCAACACCCTCCCAACGGTCGCCCTGGGACCTTGCCTGTGACGCCGCCCAAGCCTTCTGTGCCTGACAGCGGCAGCTACGGACAAGCAGTATATAGTCAGCTCCCTAGCAGGCGGACCCTTAGAGTTTCTTCTCTTTGGATCCTCCCCTGCTAGGTCAGCTCCATTTGTATTTGCTTACCAATGTTCACGCTTTGGATCCTCCCCTGCTAGGATGCCTCCGGGGTTGCCCTTACAGCAGAAGAAACTCTCTACGGGATCAACCGGACAAGATTGCCAGGTTCGGCGCTGACTCAGGCTCAGAGTACGAGTCCGTTCCGCCCTCGTCACCGCCCCTGCCACTTGTCCCCTCCTCCTTTACTCCTGTGGTCCCCGCACCCGTCATGCCGTCCGGAGTCACTCCTAGGGCAGACGCCCGGCTGGACTCACTCAAGGTGAAAATCGATAGCCTAACTGAGGCCCTTGCTTTACTCACCAACCAGGCTTCCGCTGCCACTGCCGCCACTAATAATGCTGGCAGACCCCAAACACCATCTCCGGAGACGTCGATTCCGACTCCGACTCCAGTTCAGGGCGACTCCAAAGCCCTTTTGGCGCCATCAACCTCGCCTCAAAATTGGTAAACCCCCCCGTTCACCTTCAACGGCAATCGGAAACGCGGCCGGGCATTTCTCTACGCGGTCCGCACCTACGCCCGCCTTGCCCCTGAGGCCTTTGTGGTCAACGGAGAGGCGAGAGGAAAAGGCCGTCCGCTATGCCATATTGTTTATGGCAGAAGGACCCGCTCAGTAATGGGCGGAGCGCCACGGAAGCAAAGCCCTGTTTCCGTTTCCGTCTTGGGGCCCGTTCGTTTCCGAAGTTTCGACTCCGGTTCGTCGAGGAGAAGAAGCAAGATCACACTCTCTCCAAACTGGAGACTTCCGCCTATCACATGGTACAAAGATGTCTACCAGTACACTGACGACTTCGAGGACCTGATGGACCTCGCTGGATTCGAGGACGCCTGGTCAAGGTGACCAAGTTCCGCCACAGACTTGATCCCTTGATCAACAACGGAATCACGTCCTCAAACGACCCCCCCGGACCTCCGGGATTACCTTAGCTGGCGCACCCGGGCCTTCCGTCAATACGAGGCCCTGGTCCGGGCCAAGCTGATCAAGTCAGCCGCCCCAAAGATGCCTGGCGGTTTGATTCGGACTCCGTTTCCGGTCAACCGCATCCAGGCTCCGGCCCCTTTCCGCGGTTCCGGTCGTGCCACCCGCGGCCCGCGCCCCCGCTCCGGCGCCTCCAGTTCCCGTCCCTATGGAGTTGGACCGCACCAGGGCTCGGGGTGCCCCTCCTCGCGCCTGCTTCAGGTGTGGCGACCCAAACCATCTCGCCTGGGATTGCCCCCTCCCCACCGATGTTCGCTCAATGGACATCCTCGATGAGGTGATCCAACAACTCGGTGATGAGATGTTAGCGGAGTTGATCGCCCGCTACACGGACACAGCTGCCCTGCCGGAGACGGCAGCAGAGTCGATGGCCGGAGAGGATTTTGTCCCCCGCAACGAGTGACTGGTGTGCCCTCGTTCGCGTCCATAAATCGTTTTGCCTCTTTGTATGATGAATGCAGCTCCTTGCCCTACAATGAGCCCGAAATGAACGACACACCCTCTCCTGCCCCCCGCCTCGACTCCGTCTCCAACTCCGCCCGCGACTCCGGTCATTGTCCTTTGCTGCCTCACTGCCTGGGAAAAGAAACTACCCAAGCAGTATACCGTTGCCGCCTCCCCTGGAGTGAACTCCCTCCACCTCCCGTTGGAGCTGGAGTCCACCACCAGCGCACTGAAGCTCTCGCTCTCTGGGCTTGTCGATTGTGGTGCCACCTCCGACTTTATTGACATGAACTACGTCACTCGGAATGGCATTCCGGTCCGCACTCCAGAAACATCTCTGCTCCGGCCCGTTCCCCTCGGTTTTCACTATGGACCTCTCTGGCCCTGAGGACGGAGACGATTCCGATTCCGGTCTCAATTCCGACCTGCCTGATCTGACACTGGACTTGGACTCAGACGACGAGGACGACCAGCTCGAAGATGATGGTGACCGCATCTTCTACACCTCGTTCCGTCCCTCGGAAGAGATACGCGCAGGCAGCACCGTCTCGCAGCGCTTGGCCAAAGCCTTTGCCAGGAACTCCGCCCCTCTGCCCTCCGAGATCCCGGACTGGGCTAAGGACTTCCAGGACGTCTTCAACAAGGAGTCCTTCGATATGCTACCGGAGCGGGAGAGCCTGGGACCACGCCATTGAACTTGTCCCCGACGCTAAGCCCACCAACTGCAAGGTGTACCCCATCTCACCCCTCGAGCAACACGAGCTCGACGTGTTCATCGAGGAAGGGCTGTCGACGGGTTGGATTTGCCCCTCCAAGTCTCCGATGGCGTCTCCGGTCTTCTTCATCAAGAAGAAGGATGGCAGACTCCGCTTCGTCCAGGACTACTGTGCTCTCAATGCGATGACCATCAAAAACCGGTACCCCCTTCCGCTGATCAACAACCTCATCAACCGGCTCAAAGGTGCTCGTTACTTCACCAAACTCGATGTTCGTTGGGGCTTCAACAATGTCCGGATCAAGGAAGGTGACGAGTGGAAAGCGGCTTTCCGGACTAACCGAGGCCTGTTTGAGCCCTTGGTGATGTATTTCGGCCTAACAAACTCTCCCGCGACGTTCCAAACAATGATGAATGACATTGTCCAGGACCTCATCCTCTCCGGAGACGTCATGATCTACCTTGATGACATCCTGATTGCCCATTCCGACCTCCGGAAACACCAGCAAATCATTCAGGAGGTCTTACGGCGACTCCGGGAGCACAAGTTGTACCTTTGAGCGGAGAAGTGCGACTTTGAAAAATCGTCAATTGAGTACCTCGAGTCATCATCTCCCATAACCACGTCGAAATGGACCCCGTCAAGGTCGCAGGCGTCTCCGCTTGGCTGACTCCGGAAAACAAGAAGGACATCCAGCAGTTCCTTGGGTTCACTAATTTCTACTGCAGGTTCATTCGGGACTTCTCGACCCTTGAAGTGATGATGGTGAAGGTCAGCAAAAGTGTTTGTCATAAAGTGGGCAGTGTGTGGATGCAGGTTGGCAGACACATGACCGAGCGACGGAGCTGCACTGTAGGCTGATCACGGAGGCTGATTTTGGACTGACAGTGTGTCAGCCTCAGCCGAAACATCAAAGATGCGCCATTGGGAGTGCTGTCTGAATTGCAACTGTTAGATACTTTAGTAAGAGCCTCCGAACTTATGCATGTAAAAAACCAAACTACTCCAAATCAAACTCCGACGTGATCTGATTAATCTGAAGCTTGGCATAGGTGGTCTTAAGTCCAGATTAGGTTTTGTGTTGTCTTGTGTTTATTTGTTTGTTTGTTTGTTGTGTTTGTATTAGAGTTGGTTTGTGTGGTTTTGTCTTTTTCTCTTAGTGTCTCTTTGCTCACTTTCCAAGTATTTCAATACCACTAATTCTGCATAGAAGTCAAGATTTAAGTCTGTTTCGATCTGGTTTCAAAGGGCTATGAATGGGTGTTCAACCCAAAATAGGTTTGATGTGTGTTTCCCAATACAACATAACAGCTGAACTTTACTGTTACGATTGATGTTGTCTGCCAAGCTGCATTAACTCAGGCAATGCATTGCACTGACATTTAACCTTACCACATGAGCTATTTATCTGATTTCAATTATCTTAATTGAGTTATTTATCTCATTTTAATTATCTTAATTGCCTATATCTTTAGTCAATATGTGCTTTTAAGTCAGTGTATCTTCATTCAGGCATATTATTGGACTTACACCTAAACCCATCCTTGGCTGTAGCTATCTTGGGGACAAGGCAAATTTTCAGTCCAGCTCAAGATTGAATATTGAATGAAGACAAAATGATGTCCTGCGCGCTAACCGCTCTAGCTACACGAAATTCTAAGATTATATACCTCGACGCCTTCAAGTTGGCTCCTGCTCCAGTAGCGCATCGAGGGATACCGGCGGTGGATCAGTGCGAGATGCGTGCTGGGGGAAGCAGTATGTCTCCCCCAGCCCCTCGTGCCGTTTGGGCCGACGAAGTGCAGCGGAAGGCCGGCAGCCGGCTGCGGGATTCGGGCACCGCATGCACATAACGCAGCCGCGCGCCAGCGTGATCGAGCGCCCAGGATGAACAAGATCGAGATTCGGGAGAAGGTGTCTGAAATTCAGCCCTTGAATTCAACAGAAGACTGAGTTTACTCACCGAGACGAGATGGCGCGATGCAAGATGGCGACTGCCAGTGGACCGTTTCGCTTGGGATTCGCTGGAGATGTGCGCACATAGCGTTGCTTCCCGCGGTCATTTGCAAACGAGGCTGGCCGGGCCGCGGCTTCCTTCTGAAAACGCCGGCCGGGCCGCGCAGAGCCAGTCGCTGGCCCGTTCCGCTTGATATTTTGAGAAGGCGGAGGGAGATATTCGTGCTCTCTGCCCTGAGAATCCCAGGCGGAACGAACAAGGACCCGGCCCGCCGTCCTCGGGTTTTCGCGCAACAGCGTCCGGTGTGCGCAGACCCACCCGTTTCCCTGTTCGCCTTGAAGGTCTTAGGAGCAAAGGGGCCAGACTGTCGCTACTTGCGTTGGAAATTCCAACCAGAACAAGGAAAAGATGCGGTTGCTGCTCACCGATCTCGCGCACAACGCGCGCCACACTGGCGGCGAAGATGTCATCCGTAGACTGTTGCAGACCGCGGAGACGTGCCGAGACAGCTGCGATCAGTCTCTGGAGACACCCCGGACTTGAAGAACGTGGCCCGAGGCGACTTCCGGGCGAAGCGACCAAGCTTGGGCCAAAGTCGTGGCCTGGATACAGCAAGCAGATCGCCGGAAAGTCCACCGGAATGAAGAGACAGTGGCGCGCGTTGCGCGCAGCGAGTTTAGCGCCAGTCGACCGCCCCGATGGTGACCTTCGTGAGATTTGACCCCAGAACTCCCAAGAACTTGAAGTTGTTTCGCCCAGAGTATTGTGGACTCGTTTTGAGCAGGCCGCGGTCGTCCGGGGCCGCGATGAGGGCAGGAGAGACGAAAGGGAAGGTGAGTGGGCAGGATGGGCCCCAGTTCGTGCCAAGGATGGCTTTGGAGTCAAAGTCACTTATAGTTGTTTGAATTCAGCAGAAGACTGAGTTTACTCACTTAGACAAGACGGCGCGATGGAGCACGACGACTGGATCGCTTCTTTCGGGATTCGCTGGAGATGGACGCATATAGCGTCGCTGGCCGCGGCTTCCTTTCCAGGTCAGACGCGCGCGAGGCGGGCCGAGACGCCGCTGCTTTCGGGAAACGCCGGCCGGGCCGCGCAGAGCCAAGTGTGGGGCCGTTCCGCCTGGGATTTTTGAGAAATCGGAGGGACATATTCGTGCTCCCCGCCCTGTGGGTGTCAAGCGAAACGAACGAGAACTCGGCCCGCCGTCCTCGGGTTTCGCGCAACAACGTCCGTTGCGTGCAGACCCAGCCGCTGCCCCGTTCCACTTGAAAACGTCAGAGACGAGAGCGCCGCACTGGCGCTACCTGCGCTGAAGATTTCAGCCAGAACGGGGAACAAATGCGCTCGGCGCTCACCGGCCCGGGTCTCGCGCACAACGCGGACAACGTCGACGACGGCTTCCAGAGACATCGTGCGTCTCTCCGCGCAGACGGACACCACTAGCGCGCTCACACTGGCGGTCTCCTCGAAGGCGTGCGGCAGAAACTGTGCTGTACGCCTCTGTCACTTTGCCCTCCATCCGGACCTTCTGCAGCACCCTCCGCTCTAAAAGCCGGCACGCTGCGCCGGCTGACACTGCGCATCCCAACGCCACCGCTCTTCGACGACTTCTGGGCCCTGGTGGGCGCGCGCTGCCCGCGGTTGGCGCACCTCACAGTATGCGACGCGGAGATCGCCGCGCTGCTCCGGCCCGGCCTGCGCGTCCGCCCGACGCGGCTCACGCTCCTCGCCGACCCCGCGCGGGCGTCCAAGCTGCGCGAGTCGGTCCTCTTGATGCACTTCGCCGGCCCGGCGGGATGGTACACGGTCCCCGCCGTCTTCGCGCTCCTGCGCGCACGGCCCGCGCAGCTCCGGCAGGTCACGCACGTCGCGCTGCGCGGGACCGGCAACGAGATGATCGCCGGCGTGTGGGAAGATATTCGGCGACTGCCGGCGCTGCGCGTCGCGGTGTTTGCGGTGCCGCCGCACCGCGGCGGGTGGACTGAGACGGGTCCGCGTGATCCGCGGTTCGTGGCGTTCGGCGCGGGGGATGTGGATTTGGATGATGATGGGGATGGGGATGGGGAGGAGAGCCCGCATTGGGCGTGGGCGGAGCGGAAGATCGAGGAGAGGAGGCAGAAGGCAGTCGACTCGAGGCAAAGACCAACGCCTGCCAATAGGTCGGAGGCCGGGCCTTCGCACTAAAGGCTTGCGAAGATCTACCACGTCCGGTGGGCTACGGGTGGGCTTATCAGAGCTATACATAGTTGCGTTGTATTAGGCTGCTCACATACTTTTCCGTCCCATCCCGTCCAAATTACGTCCGAAGCTGTTGGCCCTCGCACCTTTATGGCCACGTCATCGACAATCATCAGCGTGGGAGACGCCAACGCGGCTCGGAGCGACCCAAGAGCGACCTCGAAAAGCACGCGCCTCCGCTCCGCCGTCCTCCAGTCCGGCCGCCCTGAGGACGGTGGCAAGACAGAGGCCGCACCATGAAACCCTTGTCGGCGCGGCGACACCAGGCCTTATTTATACTCCGTGTCCGGTCCCCATCAGATCGCTGATTTTCCAATTTGCCGTCTTTCTCCCACCCACCACCGCAGCCGACGAGACTGACTCCTGGGCGCTTGCTGCCCGTACAAGTAGCGGTGTTCCTCGGAAACAAGGCGGCCAATGGACCTGTCGTTCGCCATCCCCCAGGCCGTCCTGCGCCACGTTGCTTTCCGCCACGCGCTGGGTGACGATGATGCCCTCCTGCGCCTCCCCGTTTACGCCGCCGCGGTCTCTGCGTCTGTGCTGCTGGTGCAGACCGCGGTGGCATTCCGCTATCGGGGAGGGTCGACGGGGGCCACGCCGGCGATTGGCTGGGGTGCTATCCTTGCGTGGCGCGTCACGCGGTTTGTCGCTGCGGCGGCAGCGTTAGGGCTCTCAGTCGCGGTGGGCATTGACGAGGGAGATACGTGGCAGGAGGTGCTGCTTGGAACGGGGCCATATGTGCGCTATCACTCTATCTCTTTGCTGCCTATTCTGATTCTTTACAGCTCTACGCGACTTTTCTGTCGTTCTTCACGCTAGACCCCCGGAAGTACCGCCAGCGGCTCGTGCGCCACGCCAACTTCATCCTCTTTGCCGCGTCCGCGCTCTACATCTGCCGCGACGTCATGCCGCTCGCCACATTCACGCAGGAGCCGCTCGACCGTGGCGCGAAGATGATGGCCAAAATTGCATTGGTGTTCTTCAGCGGCCTTGTCGTGCCGCTATTCACACCACGGCTCTACACACCCGTCGATCCCTCTGTGCGTGCATCGAATCCGCTGCAGCCTCCGCTGATGACTACCCAGAACCCGCAAAAAGAGCTCAACCCTGAGCAGACCGCCTCGGTCTTCAGCTTTGCGCTCTACTTCTTTCTCGACACCATCATCTTCGCCGCCTATCGCCAGAAGGAGGTCCCCGAGGACCAGCTCTACGCGCTGTGCGACACCGACGGGGCCGAACACCTCAAGCAGCGCAGCTTCAAGGTGCGTAGTCTGCATCACAAATACTTGTTGACACAAGTTGCAGTTCCTCGATGTCTTCTCCGGCGCCAAACAACGACACCCATTCTTTGGCCTCATGCGTGTCTATTGGAGGGAATTCGCAACCCTGTTTGCGCTCGTCGTCGTCCGCTGCCTCGCCAACTACACGGGGCCGTTCGCGATGAACCGGCTCTTGCTGTAAGCTGTACATGTGCAGGTTGCCAGAGCGCTGACTCCTTTCCGAAGGTACATCGAGACGCGCGACCAGCCCGAGAGCCACGTCGTGCGCCCGTGGGTGTGGATCGCGCTCGTCGCGGGCGGGCCGCTCATCGGCGCGCTCGCGTTCCAGGCGTACATCTTCGTCAACACGCGCACGCTGGTGTGGACCGAGTCGGTTGTCACGCAGCTCGTCTTCGCCCACAGTCTGCGCATCCGCGTCAAAGCGGACAGCAGAGATGATGAGCCGGCAACGACGGAACAACAGCCTGTTGCGGGCGAGGCGGCGAGTGAGTCCGGGAGCACGAGCTCGGAGGGCGATGCGGAATCGACAACGATCCAGCCCAGTTCGGCGAGTGTCCGCTCGTCGAGCAGCAGCAGTGCGGCACAGAAAGATGGCGATCAAAAGACAGCCGACAAGAAGGCGGAGGAGAAGGGCCAGTCGATGGTGGGGAAAATCAACAACCTGGTGACAACCGACCTGTGCGTGATTCCCCCACTCGTACAGCGTCTGACTCACGCGCTCCAGCGGCAACATCAGTGCGTATTCCTGTCCCTCCTGCGCGACACGTTGAGCTGGTGTATAGCCGACAGCCGCGACTTCATCGATCTGTTCCTGTACATCCCGCTGCAGCTGGTCATCGGGATATACTTCCTGTATGTGCTCCTCGGGTGGTCCGTGTGGGTCGGCGTCGCGTCGATCGTGCTTCTGGCGCCGTTCCCGGGGTACAGTGCGTTAAATACCTTCATTCTCAGCCAGTACCGCAGACTATACCACATATTTCTCCACCCATGTTGTGTAAAAAAAAGAAATAATATTTGTGTTGTGCCCGAGTTGAACCCACAGTGGACCGCCAAGTTGCGATCTGCGGACTTGCTGCGGACTCCGTGTGTGCGAAATTGTGGACAGCGCTTTTCACGCCTCTGGGCGATTTGGACCTGGGGTGGGCTGAGGGGTGGGCCTGCCTTATATATGGAAGAGTAGCTTGGCTTCAATGACCCTGCTCTTCCTGTTGTGGGTTCTGGGGGAAGACAGTGAAAGTGGATCAGTCTGGTCTGTGCTTCATTAAATTGGCGGAGATAGGATATGCTATGGTAAGCCTGCGGGTAGCGAGGTTGGTTCAACACCTTCCGAGCTGAGCTCAACCTGTTGGTCATGGTGTGTTCGTCAGTGGTTTGCTAGTAACTGTCTTTTTTTTTTTTGGTTGTGGCATTTTTCTTGGTCTGGCAGTCTTCCTTCCTAAAAGACTGCCACTAAGCTGATGGGAGAGTAGTGACCTCCCATTCAGCCACTACACCTGATTGGCAACTCAGTAAAACTGCTAAAAGAGTCAGAATAACAAAAGTCTTCTTACAAAGTGGATCATCTGGTGGATTGTACTCTTCCTGCATTCACAACTCATGTTGGCTTCTCTTTCTGTACTATGGGTATTTTTTTTCTTTTTTTCCCACACTTTAGGGCCGGCCCCATAAATGACTTATATATAAATAAAATATAAAGACTGGCCCTAAAGTAACAGTCCATTAGGGCTGACCTTATAAATGACTTATATAAGACTAGCCCTAAAGACTCAATGAATGAACCGACTGACTGACTGGTTGGCTCACAAATTGAGAAAGAGTGAAAAATCACAACTGTCTTTTAGGGTGGAAATCCATGGAGTCCACTTTAGGGCCGGCTCAATTAATGAAAGTTGTAGATATTCAAAATTGAATACTAGGTTCAGTTTGGACCTAAGCCTGATTGTCAATGGTTAGGCCAGAAAACACAGAAATGTAAAAAATCACGAGTGTCTTTTAGAGTGGAAGTCCGCGGATTTCCACTGTAGCGCTTGGTTCAATCCCTAACCTAACTGCCAGGTGGAAATCCGCGCATTTCCACTTTAGGGTCGGGCTCAATTAATGAAAATTGTAGATATTCAAATTTTATGACTTGGTTCAGTTTGGAGCTAAGCCCAATTGTTAATGGTTGGACCAGAAAACACAGAAAAGTGAAAAATCACGAGTGTCTTTTAAGTGGAAGTCCGCGGAAATCCGACTTTAGGGCCGGTTCAACCCCTCATGTCGTGGAAATCCGGGAATTCCACTTTCAAACAGTGTTAGGGTTATAACTCAGCCAATTCTTATCCGTTTCAGATGATTTATATACCATTAGAAAGCTATTTAAATTCTCTATTATCTGGGTCTTACCTGTCAGGGCCAATCCCGCAACTGCCCATCCAAATCTGAACTTTTACCCTGTTACTAACATAACTCAGTCAATTTTATATATCATTAAAAAGCTCACATTGAAGCAAGTGCACTACAAATCTTTTACTACAGAATACTATGGCAGTTAAGTTTCTTTCTAGTCTGTTTGTGCCAAGTTATGTATGACCAGAAAGATCTTTACAAGACCTTAAAACTCAACTCTGACATGGGTGACTACCAATCTATACTGTTTTACTACAAGTCAATCAAATAACTTCAAAACAGTAATTAACTCAAAGAGTTTTGATTTATTAAGAATGATGTTTATATAATCAGAAAGGCTTTACTGGAGGCAAATACCCAGGCAGTAGAGCGCCTAGTGCCTGTTAGCACTAGGCGCACTATAGGCATGGTTTTGGGGTCCCTGTCTATTGCTGCTGTTTTTTTTGGGCTAAAACCCCCGGGAAAAGCCAGGGCAACACAAGAAAGACCTCTAATGCCTTGAGT